TCTGGGGGAGCTCCTGGATGGCTTCTGGATCAGGGCTGATGGCCACTTCTCTAGGAAAGGGAGAGGGGCTGGAAATGGAGTGAGGAAGACTCCATAAAATCCAAATAGTGTGGTTTCAGGGAGCCTCCAGGTTGATGACCACATCCATATACCAGGAGGTGACACACCTCCCCCAGCTCCACAGGGACAGAAGCTCAAGGTGCTCCCAGACCTCATTTCTCTCTCTGGCTGTTCATCTGTATTCTTTAATAAATGGGTAAATGTAAAAAAAAAAAGAACAAAAAAGAACAAGTAATGGTACCAAGGCTGTTGCTGAGGACTGAGGCCGAGTGTCTCTGTTCACAAGGGCAGATGGAGCACAGAGAATTACCAGGAAACAGGACAGACTGTTGCTGTCAGCCAGGGCGAGCTGGTGCGGAGATCTGGAGATCTGAGAGTCTCCAAAGATGAAAAAATGAAACCTAAGTGGAAGCCACAACGGACGGCAGCTACTACACGTGGCCCTAATGAGACAGAAATTAGCAAGCTTTAGGGCATCTGTCCTCATATCTGCTCCTCCCTCCTGTGCCCGCAGGGGACACAGGATCTACAGGAACTGGCTTTGTGTTACCAGATTGTTGACAGAATCTTTTGTTTTCAAGTTTTTTTTGCCCGATTTTCCTACGCTGGCAAATCCAGTTATCTTGGTTCCTGAAAGTTCTCCATCTTGCAGTGTTGCTTTAAACAAACAATTGGGAAACGAGAAGTAAACTCAGCTAGCAATTTTGTCATTATTTTCTGCGTAAACAGTGTCTGCTCTGCTTTTATTCTGTAGCATAATAATCTAGATATGAGACTTTTACAAGTCCAGGAGGCAGTAGTGCAGATTTATTTCTGTCAAGTAGCAGTGTCTTTAACTCTTTTAGATGGGGCTATAAAAGAGATTTGCATTTGCCTTTTTTTTTTCCAATTTCTGCCCAAATTTCAAAATTTCTTCTTCCTCCTGCTCTTAGGTTTGTCAAGTGGGCATTCTTGTCTCCTGAACCCAAGGCTCTAGCGTGAGACAGCATTTGCCACTCTTAGGTCAGACCTGGCTAAGAAACTGGGCATCCTTTAAAAAGATGTTCACTTGTTCATTTGTCACCAAGGAAACTGACTTCTTCCTGACCTTGCCCGTACACTTGGGTGAGGCAATCCTTAATTTTTTCCACTGCCCTGTTCATTGCTCTTCAGAGCTCTGTTGCTAAGGGAAGGGAGGCTGAAACCGCACTGTTATTCAATCAAAATAAGAAAAAGAGAAGCCTGTCATCTGAATAGGGCTGATACTACAGATGGGAAAGCCTGGATCTCCCTGCTTCAGGTTAAATCTGTCTTAAGTTTGTTGAATGAATAAACAATGAATGTTGTTTGAAAAGCAAAGCCATTCTCCTGAGAGCCACAGGAACACTGCAGATGCTTAACAGTTGTTTGAACTTACATTGGGGATGTTGTAACTCAAGTTCTAGAACAGTGATCTTTAAGGAGGAGTGCCTTCTCTTTTCACAGGACTCACAGATTCTAGTGAGCCTGCACTGGTTTCCGATAATCCCTGTCTGTTTATGCTCAGTTTCATTTGGTTATATTCCATCTCTTTTCCTGGATGTCAGCCTTCTGGAGAGATCAGTGATCACACCTCCTAACGCAGGCCTAATTTAGGGACCGTGGTTGGTAGAAGCAAGTGCTTGAGTTTAATTCATTTGGTAGCAAGGTTGTAGGCAAAAAAGCATTTCAAATGCACAGAACCCTGGCTATACCCCTTCACATCAGTGGGCATCAGTTTCCTCTTCTGAGAAATGGGAATGCCAGCACTTCTTCCTGCCTGCTTCCTAGAAGCAGCAAGCATCACTGTGAGAGTGACCTGAAAAACTCCCTGTCCCAGCGTTAGGCGTGCTCAGCAGCTATTCGTTCTGTTTTGCATCTCTTCTTCTAAGAAGTCCTGTATTTGGCCTCCGTGGGGTGGCTGAAGAGCCAAGTCGAGGGTCATATTAACTAGGGGCTTCTCATTCTCCATTCTGTATTATTACACAGGCTGGGGAGGGAGTGAGTCACGCCTTGGAGAGGCTTGTAAGGAGAGAAAGACAGAGGTTTCTTAGCAAAGGTCAGAGAAACCCCTCCTTGAATAAGATGCCAGGTTACTGCAAGATCCTTTTTGTTATAAATCTAGTTATTAATTCAATGCCTGCAAATGGTGAGACAGTTTCCAGCAGTGTCGGGGGTAAGCAGCGAAGCCACCCACCATTCCAAATGTCCATTCAGAGCATAAGCACCTGTCCGTCACCTGGGAGGGAAATAAGATCAGGGGTGTTGAGCAAAGGAGGCTGGGATCTCCCTCACCACTAGCGCCACGGCTCAGAGGATCCCAAGAGGGCAAGTGGTCTTCGCCACAAGCAGAACACCACCCTGCTCAACAAGAAACCAGCCTGCCCTTCAGGACAGGGAGAGCCCAGCTCACTGCTAATATCAGCTGGCCTGGAAGGTGGCAGCAAAAACCAGGCACGGAGGATGCGGAGCCCGCCTGAATGTGTGGGCGCCCCACCCACAGCCTTTGTCCGCTCTGCCTGCCATCCAGCAAAGTCCAGGCCCAGCTGCTAATTGGAGCTCATGTCCCTTATACATGTGGTAGTGGAACAGCAGGAAACCTCCTCTTTGGGTAAAAAAACTGCCATTTTTGTTACATTATACCTTTCCTGTAAAGACCTGCACCTGGCTCTTTCCCAGTTCTCTTTCAGCTGCCCTTCAGAGAACACCAATCTCTTTTCTAGGGCTCACGGCTCAAGATTCGCCTGAAAAATCACTTTTTTTCTGATGCACGGGAGAAGAGAACGGGGCCGTGAACAGGTTTTTTCCATATCTGGGATAGCCGCCCAAAGAACAGGCACCGTCTTACCGGCAGGTAACATTTTATGCTGTGGTTTTGCTAGAGGACCCTAAAGCCAGATGGAGAGTGTCGGATCTCCTTGAGGCGACTGCCTGCCACTCAGTACGGCCTGCAGTTCTGACCCTTGAGCTTGCCGGGTGGAGCCGGGGACGTGGCGACGCTCCGGCTCAGGAGGACTGTGGATACACCGAGAACTACTCGCTCCGGGTCCCAGGACCCTCCTCTGCCTCCCCACCTCGGGCCGGAGTCTCCTACTTTGAGAACACCCAACTTCGCCGCCTAAAAGAAACGCGCAGCTGACCATTTCCGCTAGATGGCGCGATTTCCCCTAATCCGCCCGCAATTCCCCCGATTTATAAAATAAATACAATCCAACGCCTTCCGAAACCACATCACATAATAGCAGCTCGCAGGCTCCCATTAAAAATCTCAATTTGGGGGAATTGATTCTACCACTGAGCAAATCTAAAGCCATTACATTAACAGGATGCAATCAAGAAGTGCACCCGAGCGTTCCCCACACAGGCCCTCCCCCTAAATACACCTGTGCCCCTGCCCCAGCTTGTTCCCTGGGATAAGCCACATCTTGAGCCCCGCGCGAAGCCCACCTGTACACTTAGGAACGTCAGGGCCACTCGGGAATCCTGTCCCTTAAAGCACTTAACCCAAGTCCCACACCTTCCTGTGCACCTGCGCTCCCAGGCAAAGGACCGCTCGGAACCGAGCCCAGACAGTGCGCACCGCCGATGCCCCGGGGCAGGCGCTCGATCCGCTCCTCTGCAGCAGGTTAGGCAGCCTGGCAGGGAGCAGGAGGAGGGGGCCCGGGCAAGTCGGGCCAGTGAGGGTTCACGGCGGGACAGCCTGGTGGTCCGCTCCGTCCCAGGCTCCACGGGCCGGGCGGAGAGGTCGCCCGATGCGGGGGTGGCCGCGCGGGGGTGAGGAAGCTCCCAGCAAGCGCACCGTGGTAGGGACGTTCGCTGGGTCTGCCCAGCCACGCGCTCTGCCGGCTGCTCGGGGAAAGCATTTTAGGAAAAAAGAGCAAATACCAAACCACAAAAACTTTACTGCTGCCAAGAGCTAAAGCGATGGAGGCGCAGCAAAGCTCCAAATCTGGGCAGGATAGGAGCAAGATGAGACGGGGGGTTGGGGAGGACCAAAGCAGTGCCGTGGCCCGGGCAAGCGGCGGCAGCGCCTCGGGGATGCCAGAGCCGGGTCCGCCCCGTTCCCGGCCCGCGCTTACCTTGGCGGCTGCATGAGCCCCTGCAGCCCGCGGGGGGTGGCGCTGGCGGAGCTGCGGGCGAAGAGGGGGTGCCGGGGCGCCGCTCGTCAGCCCCGGGGCAAGGTGGGAGGGGCTCGGCAGGCGCTGGTCCCAGCCGCCCCGGCCGGCTCAGCAGCGGCCCGGGGCGCGCCGCCTGCTCCCGGGCTGCATGCCCGCGAGCGCCTGGAGGAGCCGGCCCGGGAGCGAACGGCTAGTGCTTCCCCAGCCCAGCGGCTTGGG